GGCTCATCCCAGCTCAGGTTTCTTAGCCATAAGTCTTGAATGATGAGTTTAGCTTGTATTACGATTGGAGACAACCATCCTAAGGGGACGAATAACTTGGATATTTCTGACAAAATTTGTCGTTTTATTAATTCGCGTATCTCGGAGACTTTGACTTGGAATTTGAAGGTATCGTCTGGTGGTGATCATAGTACGCCAAGAGATTTCTTGAAGTCTTCCTGAGGTAGTTCCTGTATTTTCTGTTCTCGGAACTGTACTGGAATTGATTGGAGTAATGCCGGTGAGTGGCTAGACCATTTTTTCAGGTTGAATCCAGCAAGGCTGAGCATTTTTATTAGTTGGTTTTGTAGTTCTAGAGCTGATTCTGTATCTGCTGCTCCCGATAATATGTCATAGACGTAGAGATCTCTTAATGCTGCTGGGCTTGCTGCCGGAAATTTATTTGATTCTTCTATTGCTGTAGTGTCTTGATGGCTAGATATGGTGCTGAGGCTGTACCGTAGATTACAGTTCGTATTCATACATTGGTTGCTGTGGATGCTCCCGCCATAATATTCTCTGGAATTGTTGATCGTCTGGATGAATTCGGATCTGCCTATACATTTTCTCTATGTCTGCGCAGAACAGAATCTCATGCTTTCTCCAACGCAGCACTATGTCGGCGATGTTTTGTTGAAGTCTTGGGCCGAGGTGCATGATGTCATTGAGGCTGATGTTGGTGGAGCTCTTGCACCATGCGTCGAAAACGGCTCTTAGTTGTTGTGCTGGCTTCTTTGATGACTGCTTGATGAGCAGTGGTGACGCCAGGGGAGGGCCAGGGGGGGCCGGGGCCCCCCCTGAAAACTTGCCATCATGTTGACAACAATGCAATGCAACATGAGTAACTTCTGCTCTCTGTATAATTTGATATTTGGTGGGCACCAGGCAACCGCGACTATACTTTTGCTTTTCTGGGATTCCCCCAAACATATTTGTGTCGGCAGGTACAGGGTTTTTCTGTGTTTTTTTGGCACCTAACCTGAAGGCCGGTTTCTCAATAGCAAGCAAGTCACCCCCGGGTCAGAGCAGTTAACCATCCCTCCAGGGTAAACATTGAAATTGGACACGTTTACCCTGAACTAGCTATTGAGAAACCGACCCTGAACGGTTATTTGAATAGGTATCAAGAAGATTTACCTATACAGGGTGTCCGTTTTTCGAGAGCAATCATTGGAATATAGGAAACGGTAAGAGATACAGGTTCGGTTAAATTGGGACAAGGTTGCGCAATTTCTTGCTTAACAAAACGCTACTTCGAAATTTGGAAAATTCCGAATACTTCCGGAGATACACGGAAATCAAAATTTTGTAAAATCATTTTTATTTTTTCCTGGACTCATTTGTAATCTTTCTCCCCTTTACTTAACCCTCGCCTTACCGACAGCGGGTTAGCGATGACCCAAAATCTGATTTTCCAGGAATATCTTGCAACCCCGCGACCTTTTTTCAGAAATCTTCTGTGAATTCTCCTAATTTATGTCAAAAATATTGCCTTTGTATGTATTTTTTCGAAAAAACAATTTTTCTCCAGAAAACTTTCTATGGGTCATCAATGACCCGGTTTTGGGATAAATCGGTATACCCTGACACCCTCCATCTCAACAAGTCATAGCAAGCTTTTTTTACGTGTTTTCGGAATTTCTAGCTTTTGTGCTTCAATTTACTATCTACTTATCTTATGAATTGAAAGTTTATTTTGTTGTTTTTTTTGCATAGTGAAATTGAAGCATGATACAGTAACATGTTTTATTCTGATTTTCAAAATTTTATATTCAAAATCACTCGAAAAAAAGGTTTATATCTGGGTCCATTTTGACCCTGTTCTGGGAGCCCAAGTTTTAAAATTATTTTGGGGCGGCGAGGGATAATGGTGTAACCAAATTTGAAATCCGACGTTTCGTCTTTTGCCGATCATCGTCAACTTTATTTTTTTAAATAGAGGTTTGCATTTTTATGAATTGTATTCGAAGTTTCTTGATCTCACAAAAGCAGTAACACATTTGGCCATTGATTGCGATTTTGTATCTCTTACCGTTTCCTATATTCCAATCGTTGTCCTCGAAAAACGGACACCCTGTATACAAAATCCAAATAAAAACCTTTTTGATACCTATTCAATTAACCTTTTCAGGTGGAGTGCAAAAATATACGGGAAAACTTTGCAATTCCCATTTTTTATTTCAAAGAAGAAAAGCAATAAAGTAAGAACAAGTGCCCCCCCTAATTTTTTCTGGCTTAGCCTGGCCCCCCCTAACGTAAAACCCTGGCGTCGCCACTGTTGATGAGGGATGTAATATTTTTCTTGATTCACTTCATGTCGGGTGATTTTCCTCATATGATCCAACTCTATGTATTCTTTCATAAATGCAGAATATTGTACTTGTAAACTGGGATCTTGATGTAACTTTCTCTCGATGTTCTTGAATCTTGCTGCGGCTCCTGGTTTAGAGTGACCTAATACATCTGCTGACTGTTTGAATGGGATTCTAACAATGAATCTACCCTCAGAGTCTCGAGTTGTGGTTTCCTCGAAAATCTCTTCGCATGTTTGCTCTTCTTCTCTTAGGTGCTGCGCTTGGGTTATTTCTTCAATTTCCCAGAACTTGGTTAGCTGTCTATCTTCTTCATAGTGAGTGATCATGCTGACAACTTGAATGGCGGGAGATCCGGAGGCTATTGGGCCAGAAACGATCCATCCTAGCTCTGTGTTTTGTTTCAACAGGCCTTCTGTACTTTTTTGCATGCCTTTCAAAATCATATTGGCGTTTTCCTTTGCTCCTAATATACTATCTATTGCACCTGGTGTCGTGAATGTTGTATCGGCTAGCACTTCATTCTTCCAACTATCTTTGCTGTTTATGTGTAGGTGTCGTTTTGGCATGGATTGAGTAAGTTTTGAAAGGAGAATCATATTGACATCCATGGAGAATGTGCTCATAAATCGTGGTTTGATCTGTGCGTCAATAGACCACCAGGTCACCAATTCCTGAGATTTGTGCTCTGATGCTATGACGTGGTAATCCCAGTCGATTTGCAGCTTCTTCAGTAATAATGGATATCTGTGACCCTTAATCAATAAGAATCCTTCCCTTCAAAACTTGAGGGGAACTTGATGTGCTCACTTCTACTAGAGCAGTAGCGAGTAGGACGTTTTCGTCATTTCTACTGGCGTGGTTAGACATTGCGCCTCTTGGTGGTAATGTTCTGCTCTTCTTGTTGGTGGGTAGGTATTGTTGAGTATTTCGCGGTTGGGAATTTGTGGGTCTTTCTTCGTAGTTGGGCTGCCTGTTGGAATTTTGTTGCTGTCTTTCTATGTGTAGGAATGTATGGTGTTGACGACTGCAGATGCTACATTTTGGATGACTGAAACATTTCTTATTGATGTCATGGCTGAGACAATTATAGCAGATGCGTTTTTCTTGAACATATCTGTTTCTTTGCTGTTATGAAATTCCTTTGAACTTCTGATAGTGGTACGTCATGTGTTGGTCTTGGCAGAAGAGACAGCTTGAGTTAGTGTATTTTTTCTCTGAGCTTGGCTTCCGTTCTGATCCTGGAATAGTTTTTAGTTACTGGAATCTTCTTTCCAAGAATTTCATAAATTCTTTCAACTCTGGAACGTCGTGAGGCTTCTCAAGACTTTGTTCATATAAACGGCTGGTTTCAGAGTCCCATTTTCTCATTGTCATTTGTATTACTATGGATCCCCAGAGTCCTTATTCTTGAAATAAGGGAGCACGAGTGTTCTGTTTTCGTTACTTATATTATTATTTTCATATCATTGAGAAAGATAGAACACTCGTTCTCCTGGGAACACTGCTCCCCTGTTTCAAGAATAGGGACACAGGTGTCAACTTTGACGTCTAGATTTTTTAGTGCTTGTAGACACTCGCTGGTGACGTCATGCAGCTGCTTTAACTTCTCGGCGTTCTCTCTTGAGACTTCTGGTAGGTCTATTAGCTTGTCTAGGAGCTTAAATATTAGAAGCCTTTTGCTCTCATAACGCTTTTGTAGTAAGTCCCTTGCTGAATCGTAGTTGGCCGCAATTACTTCTAAGTGTTGGATTAGCTTGCTTGCTTCTCCCCTGGTATTAGTTTTTAAGTAGTGCATCTTGTCGGCTCTGTTCAAAGCTGAATTTTCATGGATGAACCTTCTGAAGATGTCGAAAAATGAACACCAGTTTTCATACCCTCCATGGAAAATTGGAATTTGCACTTTTGGTAGCTGCAGGTTCTACTGTGGTTGATTAACTAGTATTTGTTGAGGTGGAATGGTGACATTCTGCTGGATTTTTGCCGCTAACGCTTCAATGACCATCGAATTGGCTCTGGATTTGTTTGTACACGTCCATAGTGAGGTACTTATCTTGATGTCTATCTTCACTTACGGCGATTTCTTCATGCAGGTTTTGGATTGCTTCCCATGGTTTCTTGCTTGATTCCATCAGATGTTTATACCGGAATTCTGATTTTTCTAGCGTAAGCTCCGACCTAAAAGTGTCTTCCAATTGCTGTATTTTGAAGTTTTGCGTTTTTATCCGTTTCTCTTGGTTGATGACGATAGGTGGCTCAGATTGGATTGTTGTTGGTTTGGCCTTTGGGCATGTTAGCAGGTAGGTCTTTAACTCGTCGAATTTGGCATACAATTGTTGGGTATATTGCTTTGTGAAGTATTGATGTTGTAACAAAGTTTCAGTATTTTTCATAAAATAAGTACGCCCCCCGCTTCGACTTAATTTGATTATTAATTGCGTGACTTAATTTTATGAATTCACGGCGGTATTAATTAAAATCCTCTTTATATTATTCGTAAATATTAAATACATTATTATGATTTCGCATGACCTCGGCTGGAATCTACAGATCCCGGCAGGAATTTCGGCCGGTATCAGCTAATTTGCATATTTCCGTTTACTCCGCCGCGTCCCTGACCCATATTTTCGGCTATAAATTGGGCAGAAAATGCTGCTAAAGGACAGTCTTCCACCGGTCTCTGAAAAGCCAGTCGACCTGACAGCAGTGTTAGCAGCATCACCACCAGAACCGTCCGAGGTAAGTCAACCCGCCGTAACCACAATAGGGGTCAGTTCTTGTAGGGCCGTGAATTAAACCAGAAGGTAAAAATCAATTATATAAGCTTCACTAAAAGATTTTCGGCCGGGTGAATCTTTTCCTGCAATAAGGTTTTCGCCCGGTACTCTGGACGGGTACTCTCTATTGCTCTTAGAACTTCGCCCGGTACCCTGGACGGGTAGTTCTGTATGAGAGATTTTCGCCTGGAACCTAGAACAGGTATTTTTCTCCGAAGCTTATATGGTATCTGTAATCCGTTAAATATGATTCGAGAACTGACGCTTATGTAGTTGCAGGTGGTGTCCGTACATTTGCTTGGGTCACCGGAGTTTGTTTTACCGCTTTATTGCTATTTAACACTTGCCGTTAGCGTTAACGTTACCGGAACTTTTAGAGCTATCGGAAAGCTGACCGTTCCGTTATCACTGCCGTTAACTTTTTCCGGACACGCTTTTCACCGCCCGCATGGTCACGCTTTTACCGCACGCATATAATTTATCACCCATTTAATCTCTCTCTCACGCATCCCCGTTCATTCTTTCACAGGGTTAGTTGAATGTTTTTCCTGTAAATATTTTCCGGTAATACAGAGTGTTATATTTATTTAAATTTATCGACTGTTGTCTATTTCTTTTCCTCAAACCAAGGTTTTCAGAAAGTTTTACAGAGCAAGCGTCTGTCACCCCTGGATTACCGTTTCCTTACTGTAACAAGCTACCTGGTGCACGTGGGCCCTCAACAACTTTAATCCTGAGGGTGGCGCCCGAGGCAAACCGTTAGATAAACCGACTTACACTGAACCCGTGTTGATTACGCAACAAAAGCGCATTACAATGTTCGCTGTACCCTTTTATTTTTATCATCGCGGCCTCGTTTTTTTAGATTGTTTGCAGTATTGCATCTAAATTGGTCAAGTGCTTTTGGACGTAGGCTTCGGTTTTCCTATCGACCGAGTCTTTCTTGCAGTTACTTAGTAGTTGAACGATTTGCATTCCTGATGTTTCTTGTTCTCGTGCGAGACGGTCAAGTTCCTCCTTTTCTGCCATGGCTGTGTTTGACAGGTGACTGGATTGTTTTGATGACTATTTATTCTGGATAAACGTACGGTTGTATGGAATGACGTTGTGGAAGGACGGCGAGTTTTCTGGATTGGCTGTATGGACGGACGTTATGGACGGACGGCGAGTCTTCTGGACTGGCTGTATGGACGGACGTTGTGGACGGACGGAGAGTCTTCTGGACTGGTTTTAGGCTCGAAGGACGAATGAGCAAGCTGTGCTCGCAGATTACGCTTGCCCAACTCGGCTTGGTTGAGCAGCGGGACGATTGTATCGGTTTCTGTCAAAGAGTAGCCACACTTTCTGCGATGGCCAAAAAGGCTTGGGCACAGAAAACGATTTGAGTAAAACACCTTTTGAAGCTAGATGAATACTGATTTATTTCGAATCTTACACACCTTTTTATATTGAATTTTGGTAAACTAATCGTGACAAAAACTGCAAAAATATAAAACACTGCGACCGTAATTACTTAAATGGATGCTGGAATACAACTTACGATGTTTGGATATTTTTATAATACCCAAACATTGCAACTAACTAAAATCTCATATAGCAAGCTGACCGTGATATTGAATAAAATATAAATATACGATATTGGTCAAATTACGCCGGCGAAGGTTAATCACTGTTTAATTGTTCTAATTAAACACCCCTGTTTATTTGTGAGGGTTCTTTTCACAATAAATTGATGGCTAAGACTGGTAAGAGGTAAAACTGAGAGCAATATTTAACTTGAAGTAAAAATTCACACACATGACTTGAGGGTGGAAAGCGACAGATCGTCATATCCAATTCGTATGTCGAAGTGGCGAAAACTATCCAACTCTTTTCCGAAACTCTGTATTTCCAATGAGAAAGAATAAAAATATCCAACTGAATAAAAAATTTAAAAGATCAGGCTACAATTTGGTGTTGAAAGCGGTTCTCAATTTTCAGTGTTTCACTTGTCTCAAAAAACTCTGAAAATCATTGAATTTCTCTCAATCCCTGTATATGATATAAAGTTGAATCATTCAATGGGGTAATACGTCACAATGTATTAGTGAAGAATCAGGCTATGATGTGTGAAAAATACATGGAAATGAAGCGGAGGGTTCAAAAGAAAATTGATGTCGAAGTGTAAATTTTGCCCGTTCTTTTTTTTGCTGATGTGTGTAGGTAGATATTGAATGTTGTGGAACTTTACAGAAAACCCATTGTGAATTTGTTTTGTCTACAAGCGTGCGAAAATTTGCTACTTTTCGCACTTTAGTAGAAAAATAACAATTAGATTAGTTCCCATATAACCAATTTAAAAAAAATTGTTCTTTCATGATTTCAAAATAAAATGCTTACCTCGATGTTTCCTATCTTATTTCAAATATTCTACCTAACACGAGCGGAAATTGTCTTTCCTGCACTAGTTAGGTAAATAACTATTTCAGTGTCAGATCCACTAAAGCAGTCAGAGTGATGTCGTTCAACAAAAGTTTACCTCCTACTCTTTTCACTAATTACCTGAATTCTATATGTACCTACTAATTATCTGAATCTATGTACTAATTATCTTGCTAATTATTTCACTATTTAGATCAAATTAAAAGGCCAATATTCTCCGTAATTTTTCCATTTCTGACAACAAATTGTCACGAATTCCGCAGCTTCATCAAAATTCTCTCTATTAACAACAACTTATATTATATTCTTTACGGAATTCCATAATTATCGCTATTACTTGAAACTCAGTTTAATTCTCACGCGCTTTATGAACGAAATCAATCAACCCAGAAATGTTTTTAGAATTCCCGTAAATTCTTGTTTATTCGATGCATTCAATTCCTCCATATTCCAGTACAGAAACGTCTGCTTTCCCGCACCAATGTAATTCCCTTTCAATACTTTCAATTTGGTGGGTTTTATTTCATTGTTTTTCAATTTTTCTTTATTCTTTTCTAATTTAATTTGATTTTTGATTATATTTTGATACAATAATAGTACGTGTTGATGTCCTAAATTAAATATAACCGACCAAACCATGTCCCTGCTTCTTCAATTTTCATTAACCCAAAGCCAAATGAAGTCATGTACGCGACCAGATAAAGCTATGCAGATCCCGTTAACCTAGAATGTATACAGCAGAATACACGACAGCCGGGCAACAGTTCTTCAATAGACCCTCCTGACATCGTGCTTCAGGTGAAATTCTTCAGCAGGTGACAAGTACCTATAGTGTTCGAAGTTGACGGTACTTTATTTGAGATTTTTGTGTTTTGTTTAATTTGATTTGTGAACTATATGATACAGTTTTGATGTTTGGGACAATGTTTAGTAAATTGTTAGTTTTAACAGTAAGTAAAATTATCGGATCTAAAGTAGACTTTACTAATATTTTACAATGAAAAGTAAAACTTTCCTCATTAAAATAAAGTACGAATGTATTGAGGGATATTTCTTTTTTATACGCTTGAAAAAAGTTTTGCCTTAAATTGGAGGAGCATAGCGGATTTTCTCCGTTCATCTTATATGAAAAAGCTGTTTAAATATTCTGCTTAAATTGAAATTTCTAGCATTAAAGGTATTATGATTTCGAATTTGGTTTAAATGATGCTTTCAAAAAAAGTAAGTGTTTCATACAGTTGCTTATCTACAAAATTATGGCCGCAACCTATTTATAGGTATTTGGTGAATTTTCCTGCAATCCCATCAAGAAGGCCTGCAGTTTATAGTTTTAAAATGTCTCTTGTTTATATTGCTTTCATTTTAAAAAAATATTTTTTCGCATTTCTGAATGTTATAATAGGAACTCAATAACGCCTGCTTCAAATCCTTCATTTTAGATCCTTTTTTTTCTGATATTTCCAGCAGCTTCTTTACCAGTAGGTAGGTACTTACTAAGTTTTTGTTGAGATTCAATGAATTTTTCCTCATAATTATTTCTAGAATTTTCAGTATCATTTTCAGCATTTTTTAAAATTGCAATATTATCTTCCATCAAGAAAGTTTCATTGTTATTCTCACTTTTTTAGTTTCTTCAGTGTCATCATCAACTGTTTGCTAACAAACTTTTTAAAGTTAGTTCAATAATTTTGACTTTACATTCATACTGTATTTTGGTTCTTTTTTTCATTTTCAACATCCTCTTTATTCTTTTTATCGATTTTATAATTTTCAGTCCCTTTTTTAGCTTTATTGAGCTTCTTCAATAGGCTTCTAAAATATTCAGCATTTTCAAAAAAAAAATCCCAATTATTTTCTTTTATCTAAAATATATTAATAACAACTCCTCGAATAGGTATATGTTTTTTGGTTGTTTTCTAGTATTTTTATAATTTTCAAGCCCCTAGTGTTCTTTTTACGTTGTTGCTTTAACCTTTTCGATATCATTTCAGCATTTATTTTCAACGATGCAATTTAAATTCACTTGAATTTACATTGAACAACGAATTGAGGCACATTTCAAGAAATGGAAGCAAAAAAAAAAACAAAATCCTAATCTGGGTCAGCCAAATTTAGCAACTAAGTGAAAAGTTCTGGATTAGTTCCACTGTTTTCCCTATTTATTCATTAACCTAGTTTTAGAAAATGACATAATCGCTTGAAGATTAACGGTTTACAAGAGAATTAAGGAAGCGGGAAGTAGGAAATGTACCACATATACGACCCAAATTATTTTAATGCTTATATCTTGTCCTTTATGCTGGTCATTGTAGAAAAAGTCGCACAATCAGTATAAGTAGGTAGTACGTAACGTGCTCGTTCTTACTGTCTATATAAGTTGAAGAGAAACTGTACGACAATTTTGGTGTAAATAAATTAAGACCAATGTTTTTTGACCCAAAAAAATATACAATAAAAATGACTTTTCATCGTTTACCTATGTAATTTCAATTAATATTACGCAACTGACAAGTCCTATAGCCTAACTATTCAAAAATCCAT